TTTCATTTTAATTTGCTTTCTCATACTCACACTTAGGATTGCTCTCTTGAGGCATGTAAGGTTTTGTTTATTAGTTCCTATCTCTTCCCTTATTTCTTTTAAGAGAGTACGTATATGAAGCTCAATTAAAGAAACAACTTATTCCCAAAGGTATGTATGGTATCTATATATATATATATATATATATATATATATATATATATATATATATATATATATATATATATATATATATTTCACACGTATATGATGGAAGTTTAATTTAAAAAATCAGAATAATTTTCTGTTTTGAGTAGTAAAAGAAGATAATAGATATTGATGTTAATACCTGCAGGAGATGATGATTTCTTGAATATTTTGAGCAGATTCGTGCTGATAACGTGTTATGAAATGAAGGAGATGAAGACTAAACTTAAGAGAGATGTATTAATAAAAGTTCTGAATATCTTCTTCTTAATCTGAGAATTTTTGAATCTCTGAATAAATTTACAATGCCTCATTAAGCTCCTATTTATACTGTTTGAACTTGATGATTAGTCGCTTAAGGGATGAATCTACAGATTTGGTGGCAATAACAATTTGAGCCATCTGTTCTAACTAGGTTACAAGGATTAAACATAATTTCTGGATTGATGACAAGGATGAACAATTCACACTTGTCATTTCCAGGATTTTACAACAATATCCAATATTTGTGTCTATTTATGGGGAAAAAACGATTTTTTGGTACTCCCTCCGTCTCTAATAACTTTGTCAAGTTTGACCGGCACGAGGAATAATAAAGTAAAAACTGTGTGGTTGAGGTTTGTGCAGAGGAGAGAGAATGAACCGTAACCACAAATTATTTACTTAAAAGAGAAAATGGCAAAATTAGTGGAACATCCAAAAAGGGAAAATTGACAAAGTTATAAGGGACGGAGAGATTATATTTTTTACAGTAAATTAAATTTATTACCTAACAAATTAAATAAAATAGTCGGGTTGGTTGACGGCTAAAATAATGGAGAAAACTTTCCCAAATTTTGACTGACATTTTTGCTTCAAAGACATTTTTGCTTCAAAGACAATGCCACTTGGCATTCATTAAATGGCTAGGGAAAACAAATTGGCATATGCCATTTTCAATCAACCAAGTTAATTGATCACTTTGTGATCTTCCATAGTGGGGATCAACCCCCATCACTTTGTTTATATCTAACTTGACCTTCCACAGTGGATGACGTTAGGGTGGAGTTACATGGTTTCAAAAGGATATGAAATAAATTCCACTTTTATCCCACTAGTGTTGCACAAGTTCCACAATTGGTCCACGTCTTTGACTAATTGACCACTTTTGGTAGATGACTATTGCATATCCGCCCATATATGGTCCTTCCGGCAATAATTCTGGTAGTTAAAATCACCGGAGAAAGACAATAAATGGTAAAAAAACATTAGTCAAGTACCAAAAGTGGACAAAGTGAAAGACGTGTATTAAATGTGGTAATGACATAAAACTTGTAGGACCAAAAGTAAAATTAATTTAAAGGATATGATTAATTGAATTTCCAATGGGATGTAAAACACACCTTACTATCATACTCAATTGTGACGAGAAGAGTTTGTCACATTAGAATTTGTGATACTCGAAATTCAGACCGGTCAACAATCAAGTCTCGTCTTCGGGGTACTTCATTTACTCAACATATAGGCCCTCATCTTGATGCTCTCTCACATTGGGTCTCCAAGAAGGTCCAACGTTAAATGATTTAGGAGAGTTGTATTTTGTATAAGAGAGGTTAAACACCCGTTTGTGATTATATCTTCACAACCCAAATGAATTCCATACTTAAGAACAACTCCTTGAATGGCCCGAGGCCATTCGGGCCCATCAACCTTCTCATGTCACGCCCTAAATTATCCCAAAACTCTTAGGGCCTGTTTACTAAGAGAGATATTTTCTTGTTTTCTATTTCTGTTTTCTGTTTTCATTTTCGAGTCTTTCTATCTTCAATTTTTTTGTTTTCATTTTTTAGTTTTCAATTTATAAATATGAAAACATGTTTGTACATTTTTTTCATCTGCTTCCGTGACCGACCAAAAGACCGAAAGTACGGTCCCAGTTCGGATTGGAACCTAGTACAACCCAAGTAGGGTACTGGGTCCCACATATAGGAAAGTCGGACCGAAAACGACCGGACCCGTCAATTTCAACAGTTAGTTTGATGAATTCTTTTTCCATTTCCCTATTGGTTGACAATTTCAACGTTAACTTCACCTTAAAAATGATTTCGAAAAACCGAGATTGAATCGACGGGTCATTGACATGCCCGGACAGGGACAGTCGGGTCGTTTACGGGACTGGCTCGGTTGTCGATCGGCTCGAACATGGATCCTCGGGTCATTTGTCAAACAGGATGGGGACCGTTAGGTCGTTGATCAGACATGATGAGGACCGCCAGGTCATTGACCGGACCGGACAGGGACCGTCGGGTCATCGACCGGGCAGTACATCGACCGCTTTGTCGTGGACCGGACCGGACAGGGGCCGCTGGGTCATGGACCGGACCGGACAGGGACCGCGTGGTCATCGAACGGACCGTGACCGTCGGGTCATCGACCGGACTGGACCAGGATTGTTCGGTCGTGGTCCGAATTGTCCATTTTTTTCATTTTTGGATGTCCCCTTATTGTTATCTCATACCATATTTGGTAACATTTGTGTGACTCTAATTCATTCTTACTTTATTCCCACATTATCAACCACACAATTCTATTTTTCTTAAAAACCACATCTTTTCCTCCCGTTCCAAATTTCCAATATTGGGGGGGGGGGGGGGGGGGGGGGGGGGGACAGAGGGAGTAGTATATTATGTGTTGACATCAAGGTTAACCACCTTTCCTGTTGACAAATATGCAGGGCCGATCATGTCTATTTTCGGGCCCAGGGGAGAGATAATTTCTTGGGCTTATATTCAATACAAACAATAAACTAACTTATTTGAAATAATTTTTTTTTTGCTTGGAATGTGAACCCTTAATAGATACTTATTTAAAATAATAATTATAATAAAATTATTGTTATTATTTAAAATACATATTTGGTGAAAAGTAACAACACAAATATCACATAAAAAACATTAGTTAAAAATCTTTCTCGCAGAGCATTGTGAAGCAAAATCATCAATAATTGCTTCACAATCGACTTTTTCCAATATCTCATGCTCAATACTTAAAATTGCCAACCCATTAAGTCTTGCTTAAGGCATAGTCAGTCGCAAATAATTCATCAAAATTTTCAACTTTGAAAAACATTACTTTAAAACGTTTCTCACGGAAGTTTAAGATTCAATTTCTTAACAATTTTTTTTCCATTGACCTCTTCTAACTTAAGTCTGCATTTTCTAATCTTCTTCTCTTTCTCTCTTTATTCCAACCTCATGCATCCATTTTATCAAGAACAATTTATTGGTCATTATTGGATTGTTTGGAGCATTGAAAAAAAGTTTTTTGTTCACCGACTGCCGTTTGGCCTCCTCGATTAATTGGCTTCTTAATAAACCGCTGAGGCACTCACCGCCTTGCAGTGTTCTTTACTCTGTTGATTTTGGAATTTGGAAACAACACATCAATTTGGATGGACTTTACCAATTGGGAGTTTTGGAATCGGGAGGATTAACATAACTTGGTAGTATTGTAATTAAAAGGATTATAAAGCATAGAGATGTGAGGACAATTAAGACAAGAGAAATTACCCAACATAGGACTAAAAACATTTGTATATTCTAAATAGGACTATCATCTTTTTATTCCCAAAATAAGACCAATTACTGCCATGTTTTGGCAGTACCCGACTTTAAACATGACAGTATTTTCCAAACTTGGCAGTAATTACTCCTATTTTGGGAATAAAAACATGACAGTCCTATTTTGGAATCTTCAAACTCTTTTACTACTATTTCGGGAATTTTCCCTTAAGACAAGCGTTGTCTCTTTACATTTATTTTAAAAATTCAAGCTTGGACCTAATCAATTGAGTTTAAAAAAAAGAGCCTACTCACACTACATACAAAGAAATATTTTTGGACCTATTTTTTCTTACTAGGGCAGTCACCCCTATTGCACCCCCTAGGCCGGCCCTGCAAATACGTAGGGAGTAATATTCTGCTAAGTAGGAAGTTAAAAGTGCTTTAGAACTAACCCCAACTAAAAGTATTCAAACACATATACTCCACATCTCAAAAACATACTAAGCACATAATGAACAAGTATTTGAAAAACTAAAGCTGGAACTACTTTTGTAGATATAAGAGATGTTTTGAACTGATTCTGCTTCCGCTAGATGATCGCTTTAACTATTTTTCATATCATTTTTTACTATAAATACTATTGTATGTTTTGAATATAACATTTCTAAAATTCAAAACACTCGATAAATTTAGATACTTCAGTTAGAATTTCATTGAACAAATCCAATAAATTTTAGAGATTACCCGAAATAGGACTAAAACAGTTTGAAAATTCCAAAATAGGACTGCCATGTTTTTATCCCAAAATAGGACTAATTACTGTCATGTTTTGGCAGTACCAGACTTCAAACATGTCAGTATTTTCTAAACATGACAGTAATTAGTCCTATTTGGTGAATAAAATACATGACAGTTCTATTTTGGAATTTTGAAACTGTTTTAGTCCTATTTCAGGAACTTTCCCTAAATTTTAATGAACTTTTGAGTGTTTTCACATAGTAATATAACGATTAAATATTACTCCATAAAATGTAAAAAATGCATCTCAATCCTCAATCTTTTATCTTTATATTTGGTTGCCACAAAAAAGAAGGTTTTCTGAACTATCATCAATAAGGTACATTCATTCTCCTCTCCTCACATAGCTTACAGGGAATCCGTACCAACCAATAGGAAGCCAACAAAGTTCACCATATGGCCCGCAAGAAGATAACCCATCTACAGAGTACTATTACCCCACACGACTGAAAGAAGATAAAGAAAATCGTCACCAAAAAACACAACCTCAGAATCATTTTCTGCAATGGAAATATACTCTCCTTACCACGTGTCCCTTTCTCCTACCACCCACAAGATCACCCCTCTGTTTCACTATCCCATTCTGCTCTCAACGTCTCACTACCTCCCATTCAAAGGCGCCATCTTTGCTCATCCCCGGAAGGAGGAGCTGTATATGTATTTTCTTTTCCTCATTTCTGTACTTATAGATATGTCTCACTACTTTTCTTGATTTTCTTCTTCTTCTTCCTCTTCTTCCAATTTGAATTTCTCTGCTGCACATCAAGAAAGTAAGCAGAGCTACTAACAATGGCTTCTTCCCTGGTATCATCACCATTTTCACTCACCAAAATAGCCAAAGACCACCCAAACCCATTCTTCCTCCACGCGTTCCTCCCCAAGAAACCGACCCAAATCAGCTCAGCAAGATCACCCAAGAAGCTCCAGTGTACAGCAATCGCGAACGGCCTTTTCACACAGACCAGTCAGGAGGTTCGCAGAGTCGTACCGGCCAATCCTCAGGGCCTTCCCACCGTGAAAGTAGTGTATGTAGTGTTAGAAGCCCAATACCAGTCATCCCTGACTTCAGCTGTTCGAACCCTGAATTCAACCGGCGACTTCGCTTCGTTCGAGGTTGTGGGTTACTTGGTCGAGGAGCTAAGAGACGGTAACACCTACAAGTCCTTCTGTAAAGATTTGGAGGACGCAAACATCTTCATTGGGTCATTGATTTTCGTGGAGGAGCTGGCATTGAAGGTGAAGTCAGCAGTGGAGAAGGAAAGGGACAGGCTTGACGCGGTCTTGGTGTTCCCTTCAATGCCTGAATGTATGAGGCTGAACAAGTTGGGCTCTTTCAGCATGTCTCAACTCGGCCAGTCCAAAAGCCCTTTCTTTCAGCTTTTCAAGAAGAAGAAGCCTTCCTCCCCGGGTTTTGCTGATCAGATGCTTAAGCTTGTGAGGACACTCCCTAAAGTTCTGAAGTATTTACCAAGTGACAAAGCCCAAGATGCCCGCATGTACATTCTTAGCCTCCAGTTCTGGCTTGGCGGGTCACCCGATAACTTGGTGAATTTCTTGAAGATGATATCTGGGTCATACGTTCCTGCCCTAAAAGGAGCGAACATCGGGTATTCTGATCCAGTTCTGTATCTGGACAGTGGAATTTGGCATCCATTGGCTCCTTGTATGTATGACGATGTGAAGGAGTATTTGAACTGGTATGGAACAAGAAGGGATGCTAATGATAAGCTGAAGAGCAACAATGCGCCTGTGATCGGCTTGGTTCTGCAAAAGAGCCATATTGTGACAGGTGACGAGAGTCATTACGTGGCTGTGATTATGGAACTGGAGGCAAGGGGGGCTAAGGTGATACCCATATTCGCTGGTGGGTTGGACTTTTCCGGTCCTGTCGAGAGATATTTGATTGATACTGTGAGTAAGAAGCCTTTTGTGAATGCGGTTGTGTCTTTGACTGGTTTCGCCCTTGTTGGTGGACCCGCAAGGCAGAATCACCCGAGGGCGATTGAAGCATTGATGAAACTTGATGTGCCATATATAGTGGCATTGCCATTGGTGTTTCAAACCACTGAGGAATGGCTTAACAGCACATTGGGATTGCACCCTATTCAGGTGGCTCTTCAGGTTGCTCTCCCTGAGCTTGATGGTGGGATGGAGCCCATCGTGTTTGCCGGGCGGGACCCCAGAACAGGCAGGCTACTACTCAGCTTATGTTGTTTGCTGTGCATTATTTCCACTTCATCTACTCTTTATATTTCCTTAATTTTTTTAGTTTCAGGCTTTGGTTATTAAATCATATTTGAATTGCAGGGAAATCTCATGCTCTTCACAGGAGAGTTGAACAGCTTTGCACTCGTGCAATCAGGTGGGCAGAACTAAAAAGAAAATCAAAGGTATCAATATGTGTTTTTATGCGGTTCTTGAACTACTTTTAATAGTTTGACAATTGCAATGAGACTTCAAGGTGTAGTACATATTAGATTCCATTTTGCTCAAGAAAAAATCAAGCCTCAAACGGAGCATAGTTTTCGAGATTAGAGGTCTCGAACAAGCCACCCTCTTTCAGACACAATTATATATAAAACCTCTCATTACATATCATAGGTTGATTTTTAGTTTGAAATCCTAAATCCTACTACACTTTACTACCAAACTCTAAGTTGATGTCAAATTGACAATAATATCTTCAAATAAGTTGTGTAATGCTTAGCTCCTTGCAATTCCACGAGTCTATTGTGAATATCCTGTTGTGGATGGATTTGAAATTTTATAACTAATTTTAGACAATTATAGTTGACGGTACTAACTTCATGGGTAGTGTTATTGATAGAGAAAATATCAGATGCTAGGATTATGATTTGATGGGAAAATGTAGAAAATGGTGTGGTAATTACGTTGTAGTTGTAGTATGACAGATGTGGAGAGGTTTGAACTTTGAAGGGGTAGACTTGGTGTGCTTAGTTTATTTTAACTACAACACACACACACATACACATATCAGTCTCTTTTTAAGAGTTGATAGATTAGCATATTATGTGATCTTATAAGTTATAACCAATCACATTTTGTTAGAGTTGCACTCTTACATTGGACAAAAGAAGAGAGAACAGCGTCTTAATAAGATCTTAGGTTGAAATAGCTAATACATTAGATTGAATTTTAATGTAGTTCCGCCCAAGTATCTTGTCACATCTTGTCCCAACTGAGCGATTAATGTAGTAGCTTGATAAATTTAATGTTTCCAAAAATGAACAAAATGTGATAGAATTGAGATTGATCGCTCAGTTGGGACAAGATACTTGGGCGGAACTTCATTAAAATTCAATCCAATGTATTAGCTATTTCAACCTAAGATCTTATTAAGACACCGTTCTCTCCTCTTTTTGTCCAATGTAAGAGTGCAACTCTAACAAAATGTGATTGTTTATAAGATCACACAATATGCTAATCTATCCATTCTTAAAAAGAGACTCTGATATGTGTATGTGTATGTAATTAAATTTATCAAGCACCCTAGTTTTCCCTCGAAACCTCTCCATCCTAACAGGCACACATGATATTCTGAGGCTCTCTGCCTCTTTCACAAGGTGTAACTTGTTTATCTAAGCAGTCAAAGCTTTGGGTAGGATGTTGGAGATGAAGTAAAATTCATCTTTATATGCCTGTACCACTTTATCTTAATGATAATTTGAATGAACTGTGTTCATCTCAAGATGGTAACTTATTGTTCTGGAAGCATTGTTTTCATATTGATCTAATGAAGTGAACATTTTTTTGTAGACTGAAAAGAAGCTAGCAATCACAGTCTTCAGCTTCCCTCCAGACAAAGGTAATGTTGGAACAGCTGCATATCTGAATGTCTTTGCCTCCATATTCTCTGTCCTCAAAGATCTCAAGAATGACGGTTATAACGTTGAGGGCCTGCCGGAGACATCGGGGGCTTTAATCGAAGATATAATCCACGACAAAGAAGCCCAGTTTAACAGCCCGAATCTCAATGTAGCTTACAAGATGAACGTGAGAGAGTACCAGCAGCTAACCCCCTACGCCACTGCACTTGAAGAGAACTGGGGAAAGCCACCTGGAAACTTGAACTCTGATGGGGAGAACCTCTTGGTTTATGGAAAACAGTATGGGAATGTGTTCATAGGTGTTCAACCCACATTCGGTTATGAGGGAGATCCAATGAGGCTTCTGTTTTCCAAGTCAGCGAGCCCTCATCACGGGTTCGCAGCATACTATTCCTATGTGGAGAAGATATTTGGAGCTGATGCTGTTCTTCACTTTGGCACTCATGGCTCCCTTGAATTCATGCCTGGAAAACAAGTAGGTATGAGTGATGTTTGTTTCCCAGATAGTCTCATTGGAAACATCCCAAATGTCTATTACTATGCAGCTAATAACCCGTCCGAGGCGACTATCGCCAAACGGAGGAGTTATGCGAACACCATCAGCTACTTGACCCCACCTGCAGAGAATGCCGGTCTCTACAAGGGACTCAAACAACTCGGCGAGCTCATATCCTCCTACCAATCCCTTAAAGATACAGGCCGTGGCCCGCAAATCGTCAAATCCATCATTAGCACGGCCCGACAGTGCAATCTTGATAAAGACGTTGATCTTCCCGAGGAGGGGCAAGAAGAAGAAATCATCGTCTCCCCGAAACAAAGAGACCTTGTGGTCGGAAAAGTCTACTCCAAAATCATGGAGATTGAGTCACGTCTCTTGCCATGCGGGCTCCATGTCATCGGAGAACCACCATCTGCCATGGAGGCGGTTGCAACGCTCGTCAACATCGCAGCGTTGGACCGGCCTGAAGACGGGATCTCTTCCCTTCCATCGATACTCGCTGCGACAGTGGGGAGAGAGATAGAAGATGTATATAGAGGGAATGATAATGGCATATTGCGTGATGTGGAGCTTCTGCGCCAGATCACTGATGCATCTCGTGGGTCGATCACGGCCTTTGTGGAACGCACCACCAACAACAAGGGTCAGGTCGTTGACGTGGCCGACAAGCTGACGTCTATCCTTGGGTTCGGGATAAATGAACCGTGGGTCCAGTATTTGTCGAACACAAAGTTCTACAGAGCTGACCGAGAAAAACTTAGGGTTCTGTTCCAGTACTTGGGAGAGTGCTTGAAGCTAGTGGTTGCTGATAATGAGTTGGGTAGCCTGAAACAAGCTCTGGAAGGGAAGTACGTCGAACCTGGTCCAGGCGGTGACCCAATCCGAAACCCAAAAGTTTTACCGACAGGAAAGAACATTCACGCCTTGGACCCACAGGCCATTCCTACGGCTGCTGCAATGCAGAGCGCAAAGGTTGTTATTGAGAGGTTGCTTGAGAGGCAGAAAGGTGATAACGGAGGCAAATACCCCGAGACAGTTGCACTTGTGCTCTGGGGAACTGATAACATAAAGACATATGGGGAGTCACTGGCTCAGGTCATGTGGATGATCGGAGTAATGCCCGTTGCAGATTCGCTTGGGCGGGTTAACCGTGTAGAGCCCGTCAGTCTTGAAGAGCTGGGTAGGCCCAGAATAGATGTTGTTGTCAACTGCTCTGGAGTGTTCAGGGACCTCTTCATCAATCAGGTACTTAAATGTAATCTTCATCAATTCATACAGAATATGCATTATAAAGTATATATGTTAAATGTAAATTTGTGAATTTGATTTCAAGTTTCAACCCATGACATTTAAAAAAGAAGTTGCTACAGAATTGGAATAAAACCATACAGAGTTTATGCATTGGAGTATTCTTGTTTTATCTTTAAAAGGTAACATTCATTTAGTTCTAATTAATGAATAAAAATAGTTAAAACTCCTTTTAGGAGTGAATGAGTCTTACCTTGAAAAATAAAATTGGATTGTAGAAATGCTTTGTACATGTTTTAGTCATATTTATACAATTTTATCAAACACTAAGCCTGTTTGTTGTGATCTTCAGTTTCTTTAAAAAAGCTTATAAACATACATTCAAAACAAGAACTAGTTTCAGTTTCTATTGGCTGTTTTCAAAATAAATACGATTAGTAATATAAGAAATAATGACAAATATATAAATAACATATAAATAATAGACAATAAATGACTTTCACTTCGTAATATAAGCAATAATGACAAATAGTGGGCCAAAATGTTGTTTAATACACTGACCGTAATGGTATATTCTTAGTGAAAACAGTCAGCCTGATGATTTACGCGACAGCAACTATGGTGGCCAAAGCGACTGATTTGTAATTTTGTGTGTGATTTCCCTTCAGTATATTTGTTACTAGATCTGGTTTTATTTCTAAAAATCATAAGAATGCCCGTAATTCTAATTAATAAATCCTTTTGCTCACCACAGATGAATCTCCTTGATCGGGCGGTGAAAATGGTTGCTGAGTTGGATGAGCCGGATGATCAAAACTTCGTGAAAAAGCATGCAGTAGAACAAGCAAAGGAACTCGGTGTTGAAGTTCGGGAAGCTGCCTCAAGGATCTTCTCCAATGCATCCGGCTCGTATTCCTCCAATATAAACCTTGCAGTTGAGAATTCCACGTGGAATGACGAGAAGCAGCTTCAGGACATGTACTTGAGCCGGAAGTCGTTTGCATTCGACTCTGATGCTCCAGGTGCAGGCATGACTGAGAAGCGCAAAGTATTTGAGATGGCTCTTAGCACTGCTGAGGCCACGTTCCAGAACCTTGACTCCTCCGAGATCTCTCTAACTGATGTTAGCCATTACTTTGATTCTGACCCAACAAACCTCGTCCAGAATCTTAGGAAAGATGGGAAGAAGCCAAATGCATACATTGCTGACACAACCACTGCTAATGCACAGGTGATTGAAAATTTTCACTCAGTTTGCAACGTATTATGTATTAGATAAAAACCCACACATAAGCATTGTGCTACACTCAAGTCTTAATATAGTACTCCGTATCTCACTACGCGCAAACGAGCAACTAGATCCAACTAAGACTTATAAAGAGTACACACTAGTTCAAGTCACATACGAAGTAATACACTTACATATAAGTATTTGGATCACTCCTCGTATTACCTATTTAGGCTGATCATATGATTATATCATAGATGGGCACTAACCTTATTGTCTGTTTTTAAATTTGAGACTTGTACATCACTTCAATTATTAGTTTTTTTGTGCTTATTTAAATTTTAAAATGTATCGACATCTCATTATTGTCTATGCTATGTCGCACGGTTAGCTAGTTGTTGGGCATGTTAAAGTATCTCATATTGAATAACTAGTCAGATATTACCTTAGCCATGAACTTATTGCCTAGGTGATTAAGGTGGAGACTCATACTCCGACTTTTATGTATTGTTGGACTTAAAGTGTACCACTAAATCTCTGAGTGTCTTTGTTGAAATTAAGGTGCGCACACTCTCTGAGACCGTGAGGCTTGATGCGAGAACCAAGCTATTGAACCCGAAGTGGTACGAAGGCATGCTATCAACGGGCTATGAAGGGGTTCGCGAAATTGAGAAACGGTTGACTAACACGGTAGGGTGGAGTGCAACTTCAGGGCAAGTGGATAACTGGGTGTACGAGGAGGCCAACACTACATTCATTCAGGACGAGGAGATGTTGAACAGGCTTATGAACACCAACCCGAATTCTTTCAGGAAACTGTTGCAGACATTCTTGGAGGCAAATGGGCGTGGCTATTGGGAAACCTCTGCAGACAATATTGAGAAGCTAAGACAACTTTACTCTGAAGTTGAAGATAAGATCGAGGGCATTGACAGGTAAATGCATGTACAGACCAAAAACCAAACCATCTTTGGTCGTTTTTTATATAGGAGAACACATTTGGTTGTTTAATATAGACAAACTGTCCTTTGATCCCTCTTGTAAGGAGCCAAAAATGCTTCTAATAACTAAGAGCCTAGGAAGTTTGGTACATCAACTTTTACTAAAAACTCGAAAAATGCCCGTTGTGAATGTGAGAGCCTTGTATTCGGTTAACGATTAGGATTACTAGGCCGGTAAATGAACTATCTGGGGAATAGATCTTGTTGGATTTCTTGTGTTTATTTGTGAATCAAATGTATCCAAATGAAATTTGTTTTAAACTTGAAGCACCAAACGAATATAATCTTATACTCCGTAATAAGCTTGTTATATGTAGGTGGGGGAGCCTTTGCGACACTGAGGTAATGATGAATGATGATGAATAAGCTTGTTATATAAATGCTCGTGAAGAACATAGTTCATCAACGGACTATGTTCTCCACTTAGCTTGCTAATTGTAAGGGAAATTTTATGCCGGAGTATATATCCTATTTGTACATCCACTTGGACTAATTATAATATTATAATTAATTAATTAATTAATTAATTAGTTTAAACATAAATAAATTGAATTGATGAAGGAATAAGGATCCATCATCATATGCATTGTAGATAATATGCTTATTTATTGATAGATTACTGTAGCATTCATACTATGCAAGGCTGGTATGAAAAGAAAAATTAGTTTAGAGATGACAAAAAATATATATAAATAAATCAGAGGCGATGTAATATTAATTAGGACAGAATTAAGCAAAAATGACTTTTCATTTGGGGCAGTATTAGTATTTGTAATATTTATTTATATTAATATGCTTTGGACTAGGCCAATAATATAGCCGAATAGGTGTTAAACTGTTAATCATGAACCATGATGCATGTCTTCAAAAGACAAAACCTAATCACATTAAGCCCCCATTGTTATATTACTCTTACTTCATCAAATTCTTCTCCCCCCACCTGTTGTTACTACCTAATAAACTTTATTTTACTATTTATAATGTTCAGTTGATGATAAAGTTAATATCCATACAACATATAAATTAATCCGTATTATATTACTATACGTATAGTTAGTACATACAGTACATATCTATAAATTATACTAAAAGTTTTCTTGGATGGTAAAACTTAATTTAAATTTTACAAAAGGTCAATATATGTAATTAAAGTCCAAAGTAAAGTTAAATTCACTACGTTGTAAATTCCAAACTTATGGAATTTTATCAATTTAGGACCCGAAAGATAGATGAATTATCAATCCGGGACCTAAAAGGTGAAATGCATCGATATAGGACCTGAATGATGAAAAACTATCATTATAGGACTTGAATGATTTAAAATTATTTATCTAGGGCCTAAGTTGTCATGAATTTTATTAATTTTTTTATTTTGAAAATTTTAAATATCATTTAGTTTTATTAAACTAATAAACTTTTGTAAAAACAAGTTTATCAAAAACTAAAGAATTAATAAAAAATTAAATAAATCAAAACCTAAGAAATGTGAGGTCCTAGATTGATTGTTTTTCATCATTCGGGTCCTATACCGATACATATCATCTTTCAGGTCCCGGATTGATAATTCATCTATCTTTCGGGTCTGAATTGATAAAATTCCAATCTTATTTGTAGACAAATGTTGTATTTTTTTCGGTGGAACTCAAATTTGTGAACAATTGTAAAGTCCTTATGACAATTGTTAATTATTGATACTTATAAACTGTTGTCATATACCAGAAATAAAGTCTTCATCCATGTAATGAAGGATGGCAATATGACTCATTTTATCATAAAAAATGACTCATTTTATCATTGCTATCAAAATTTGTAACCAAGTGTTTTATGTACCAGAAATATGAAGCCCAACTATATATTTTAACCAAGTGTTTTTTGAATTATGTAAAAGAAAATTGATAGAAGAGTAGGTATGAAACTCGTTAATTAATTGTTACAATTTCTTGACATGCGTAATAAAGCAGTAATAATGGAATTAATGTAAAAGAAAGAAAGATACGGAGTATAAAAAAGTAAGAATAATACTATAATAGGGGTTAATCATGATTCATAATGCATGCCTTCCTCAACTTGGTCCAAGAAAGGTGGAATCCTCCGTCCCAGGAGCCCCCACCCCGACTCGACAGAATGGTGGGGGAGTTAATCACGGTGACTCAGTTACCAAAGCGGCGGTAGGCATTATAAACGTGTGCACCAGAGGTCCAGCCTTATTTCAGGTTCGGTAACTTCCACACGCCGTTGCGGGTTTCGAACCTTGGTCACTTTATCCAATTTTCCCATCACTCGACCAATTGAGCTACCCGTGCGGGTTTCCTCAACCTATTCACCAAGACCATTGTTATTAGTCATTACTCTATCAATTTTTTCTGTTCAACCCGGCCTTTTGTTATTTAGTAGGGGAGTACAACCTACTTTTCTAAAAAAACTTTACTATTTACTCCCTCCGGTCCCAAATGAAATTCACACTTTCCTTTTTGGGTAGGTCCAAAATAAACTTCACACTTCTTCTCCCTTCCTTATTTGGCGAATTATCTACGTCAAAACAGTGCAAAATAGTGCCAAACAGTGTACTCTACAGTAAAGTCAAATTTATTTCATTAATTTGCGTGAAATGAAAGTGTGAATTTCATTTGGGACCGGAGGGAGTATAATGTTTGGTTGATGATAAATTTTATATTCATACAACACATAATTAATAATTTGGTATTAGCAAATAAAAAGTTACATAATTATAGGTTATATTAAGTCTTATTGAACTGTAAAAATCTGATTTACTTTTACAAAAGTTTAAAATATATAATTAAAGTCTAAATCAAAGTTAAATTGACACAGAGTAAACTTCAAGTTTGTTTATAGACGAATGTAGTATATTTTTGGGCAGGACTCAATTTTTGAACAATAGTAAATTTTTAGCATGATAATCGTGAATTATTCAAACTTGTACTCCCTCCGGTTCCTATTAAAGTTTTCAGTTTGACTTCACACATATTAAGAAAATAAATTTGACTTTACTGTGGAGTGCACTGTTTGGACACTGTTTGACACTGTTTTGCACTGTTTTGTTTCCTACAATGAAAGTGTGAACCTAAATAAGGGACATCCAAAAAAAGAAAGTGAGAGAAAAAGTCTTCATCCCTACAATGACGGCTGAACATAGGACTCAATATCATGCTCAAATACTATTAAAAGTGATAGAATAATATATTTAGACAATATAGGTGTTTATTGAATTCTGTAAAAATTATCAAAAAAAAAATCAATAGAAGAAAAAGTGATAGAAGAGTATATTCATAGAATATTATGCTACGTATTGTATTTCTCAGTCAATGTTCCATGTTAAATCTCTTATTAGGACCTCCATTCAGTCCAAATTAATCAACAAATTGGAGAAATAAAGTGTTGATGTATTTTTCACACCAATAAAATATGAACTAATAAAAAAATGTAACATTAAAGTTTAAGTTACTCATCCTATCAGATTGACTTTGTGATAATGACGGGAGAAGATGAATGTGATGGCATGGCCGGTGAATGAAAATAAGAGTATAGTAGAAAATGAGTGGAGTACAAGAAGAGAGACGATAAATGCAAAATTATCAAGGACACATAACTCGTTTTATCTATAGTTTATTTATTATAAAAGAAGAATCACAATTATTTTGAAATTGCTAAAGTAATAAAAGGGAATGTATTAGGATGTTTTTACTTGGACTGTAATTGGCTGGTCTGGTCTGGTCTGGTCTGGTCTGGTTTCTTTGTATTTTTATAACTATCCAAGTCTGGTCTGGTCTGGGAGGAATTACAGTCCAAGTAAAAACATCCTTAGTGTATTACAACTACGAGTATTTAAGAACAAAGTAAGCGGACATCACCAAATGTTTAGGCTAATAGACTTGATACCCGCACAGGTAGCTCAGTTGGTCGAGTGGTGGGAGATTTGGATCAATAGACCAAGGTTCGAATCCCCACAACGACCGGGTGGAGGTCACATAACCTGAAATAAGGCTGAACCTCTGGTTCGCACGGGTGTATGGGTCTACTGCCATTCTGTTGACTGAGTCACCGTGACTAACCTCCCCACCATCCATTTGGGTCGGGGTGGGGGGCTCCTGGGGTGGGAGATTCCACCTTTTTTGGATCAATACGCTAAGATCATCTCCAATGCTACAATGTGCACGGTGCACATGTGGCATGAGAGATAACCACAAGAATATTACGGAGTAGTAAATAAATTATCTCCCTCCTTATTTAAATGATTTTGTACGATTTTGGTAAGGTTTTCTCTGCAATGTAAACAACAATGTTACATCCAGGGCCGATCCTAAGAGTTTTTTGGTCCGAGTCGAGCTGTAAAAAAAGGCCCTCAAGATTTTTTGGGGAGGAAAGTTCATGTCCGGAATTCCGGAGAGGAACCGCCATCCGGACGGCGGCGTTTGAGCGCCTTCCCGGTGATTTTTTTGATGAAATTTTTATTTCATGTTTTTCATCAAGTCTAGTTTATCCACAAAAAATGTCAGCTAAAAATTCGATCGAGAAGGCCGTCAAATGGTTTTTTAAAGATAACTAGGCCAAAATATACACATAAAACACAGTTAACTTCCAAAAATTATTTGACGGTCTTCCCGGTTGAATTTTAAACTGAATTTGTTTGTGGATAAGCTAGACTTGATAAGGAACAGGCCATAAAAATTTTATCAAAAAAATTCACAGAAAAGACGGCCAAAGGCGGTATTTCCTGTCCGGAATTCCGGACATAAACTTTCCTCTATATAAAGATAACTAATAAATTTTTGGGCCCTAATTTTTTCCGCAAATTTGTGGGCCTGAGGCAGTTGCCCGTTTGCCTCACGTAGAGGTTCGGCCCTGGTTACATCTAGACGATCTTCTTGACATTGTCTATAAAAATTTATCAAAATCGTAAAAAGTCATTCAAATAAGGAGAGAGATAATTTATTTTCAAATATTTTTATGGCTATCTCTCATGTCACATGTGCACCGTGCACATCATAGCATTGGAGATGCTCTAGTGATGGATTACATATATTTATGTCCACCTGTTTACTTCAATATTGCTACCTACATACAATGAATTACTCTAATTAAATCATAGCTTTAGGAGGGATCGGCGGGAATACTATTTTGCCGTAAGCTATTTTCCTATTCTGCTCTTCAAAATAAGCTAATTTTGACTCCAAAAGTATAAATTACATCTACCGTGCACCGTGTAAATTTTGACTTCAAACTAAGATTACAATAAAATGGACCACATCGTTATTAAGAAGGGAAAACTGTCGATTTGATCTTTGTACTATCATGCAAATGTCAATTAAGTCCTCGTTCTTTCAAAAAAATCAATCAAATACGTGACGCACATGTGGACCGTCACATGTGCGTGAAGTCAGCGGGTCATGACAAGTAACCTGCTAAACGTTTGATTCAACTAATTTATTTTTTCAAAATTCAGTGATTTGATTGATTTTTTTTTGTTTTAAATATAAGGGTCGACTTTTTCGTGGTAGTCCGATGATCAAATTGATAGATTTTCATATTAAGAAATGTAGAATAACAGATCTCATATTTATTTATATAATATGAATAAAAAAAGAATGAAATAAAATCACATGGAATTACCAAATAAATATCATTTTAAACTATTTAGTTTATTTTATCCTAAAAATTTCCCAGAACACTTCTAACACTATAAATGTCAAAGGTAGCTAATCGATTATGAGTAACGCATATTTGCCACGAATTAATTTACTTTTCCATCTCCACCCAAAATCAATTTTAAAAATTCGGTGGTTTATTTAATTCCAAATATCATTATTGGATGTCTTATCTATCCAATAGTAGCCACCAAACTGGCATAAGCATTGTCTTCCGGAAACAGTGGGTGCATTAAGAGTTGTCCTAAGCTCGAAAAGCGAGAGAATGAAGTTCCCATGACTTGTGCAAAAGGTGGAATCTCCCACTCCAGAAACTCTCATCCCGATCCGACAGGATGGTGGGGTAGACCTTATACACATGCGCACCAGAGGTCCAGCCTTATTTTAGCTTCCGTAACCTTCACACGGTCGCTGCAGGTTTCGAATCTTGGTTACTTGATCCAATTTTCCCACCACTCGATCAACTGAGCTACCCGTACGAGTATGAAGTTCCCATGACACTTTGCTTAACTAGGACTGGGATGGTTTTGGCACTTAATTATCCTAAACTAATGATTGCAATACTAAAAGAGTGACTTTAATTTAATGGCCGGTACAAGCGTACAACAAATTAAGTTAATAAAGTAAAATATTTTAAAGATTTATATAAGCTCGTAGAAACATCTAATAAATATACTACTCTCTTGAAGAGTTCAAATTAAAAAAGGTGCTCCCGTGCAAAGCATGAACAATTGCACTTTTTCATCATCGCGTTGCACTATTTCATATTTTTGTTGCACATTTTTGTTGTGACAGAAAACTTCGATTTATTTATGAAATTGGCATTGCGTTTTTTATCAAATTTGATGCATCATTGACTCATTTTAAGCCATTATATTTGAAAATGAACGCTCAATATTAATACCCACTTTGCATGGAAAGACCTCTTTGTATCCTCATACTATATAATTACTATATGTACATTCAGAAGATATACGTAGTATATGTCAAGATTATAAATTATTTTGAACAAAACATCATACTACGGAGTAATGTTTAGCAAAAATGCATATAATATTAAAGTATTGCTTTGATTTCATTTTAATCCTCAAATTTAAATTGACATCTGAATAATAGTTTGAGGTCCAATATGAACTAGTCCTGTTTGCAAAACACTTATTATGAAACAAAATGGAGTTCTATTTGAACAATGAAGTAAAATCTTAGAATAGAGTTAGAACTTACAAACAAGTTTAAGATGATAATTTCTGATAAATTAACCATAAAAGGAACAAGTTTTGAGGGTTATCAAATGTATAATACTCCCTATCAAATATTAAACTCTTAGAGTACATAAATATAGATTAGTTTTTTTATTATTTAGAGGTCCTTGGAGATTCAAATTAAAACCCTTTTGGGAATGTCTCAATTAATTAAACTCTGTTCTTCGATACATGACGATTAAGTATGAGACACAGATTAATAAAATAGTGAACATAATATTTATGGTAGGAAAATTATGAAATAGAAACAGAAAAAATAGACAAAATTGAAAAAGTAAGAAGAAGAAGATGAAAATTGGTCAAATGAAAAAAAAAATCCCAAAAGCATATAACATGTTTCAACTATTATTCTAAGTATGAAATAACACAAAAGTAAAAAGAAACGTGACCATATTGTACAATTTTTTAAGATCATATGGTAGGACCTGTAACGGACTGACGAACATTCAACTATCATCACCTATCCATCGGAAATTCATTAAGCATATTTTTCATAGTTTGATTTAAAAGGAACTTTAGATTACTAATAAAAAGTGTGACATGTACTTGATACTTTTGGGATTAATATTTTTCATCGAGTAAAATTGTTCGTAATTCTCTGGACGAAGTACTCGTACGATGCACGAGATATATCTAGAATTGAATAATGACTTAATTAAAATTATGTTTTATGATGGTAGATAATGTGTAACTTTATCAAATATAAAAAGAACGATAAAATTTATGTGATGTTACTTTTAGTAATTATATACAAAGTATGTAGTAGTAGTTGTAATAAAATGCAAAAGTGGATCGTAAAAATTCAAGTAAAATTAAAATAAACGATAAGGTATAACCAATAACTTTATGTGACAATGAAATAACTTGATAGGACAAAAAATAGTGGGCCTCATGAGATTTTTTTGCTGTATTTTCTGACATACGAAGTACGATTGTATATAGTATTTGTTCTGTTAAACGATAACATCATAGGACGTACAAACCGGAGACCGACAATATTCTAGCACATGTAGTGATTAGCGGTTTGAAGCAATGAAAACTTTGGGACATTATTTAAAGAGGAAAGTAGTAGCAGTAATGAATAATGTAGAAAAAATAAGAGAACGTGTTATTGCATGAAAAAGAAGATAAACAGTATAAAAAAGTAAGGGAATTTCAGTATTTTTAAGGGAAACTTACTCAAAAGGAAAGTGTAGCAAAATTTTAAATACATCATAAAAAGGAAAGTATAACAAACTTTAAAATATATCTATAAAAAGTACATCAAAAAAAGTTTTATGAGACACTAGTAATACTATCAAGTTAATTTATTGTCACATAGAGTTATTGTCACATACACCTTATGTTTTATTTTAAAGTTACTTACAATTTTTAATGTGATCCAAATTTACTTTTTATACAGCTACTACTATGTATATAATTAATAAAGGTTACAACACATAAACTTATCGCCTTTTTTATTTGTCAAAATTACATATTACGTACCATTATAAAATATAATTTCAAAAAAGTTTTCACTGAAGCATGCCTTTAACTGTTTAACATCCAAATCATTCAACACACTTAGTCAAGTAGGTGATTACTTCCATCATTATCATCAAGAACACATAATTAGGTGGTATCAAATCTAATATCATACCAATTTTGCCTATGGACGTCAAAGACGGACTTTAATCCTCCAAATCAACTGACGCCAACAAAACAAAGCAAAATCTCAAAATTAATTAGTTAGAATAAAATACAATCAACAACCTAGCTCTTCATTAATTAATACTAGTATTATATACTCCGTATATACTTCCATTTCCATGGACTTTGTCAACTCCGAATTAGATGGGGATTAAGAAAAAATTTGTAATCAAGTTTGTGTAGATGAAAGAGAAATGAGCAGAAATACAAATTAATTGTTTTGCTTTAATTAGAAAATAGTAAAATTTTACAGAACAAAAATATTTGGCAAAGCTCAATGATAACACCATTTTGATAACTCCAATCGGATCACCATTCCTGAAGCCCATTAGTACCTCTGATCCAGAGGTATTGATTTTCAGAGGCTCTGAAAATCAAATTAAAGATTTGGTAGTGAATATGAAGTAAATAAAATTGATAAAAAATGTAAATAATTGATACATAAAATGTCAAGAACCGTACTCACTACCCAATAGGTTGAAGTATAGAAAGTCCTTTCTTTTTAGTCACTGCACTTCCTTTCTTGTCCCCCTTTGTTTGCCAGTACTTTATTATGTTTGCTTTCTTTTGTCAAAGTTCATTCATTTATTGGATGCCTTCTTTTGTTGTCTTTCAGAATTTACGGGTTTTGTTTATGTCAATAAATTCCTCCAGTTTCAGAATCTTCTATAATTCTGTTCCAACTTCAACTGTTTTCCTAAACCCCAACACTCCACGAGCTTTCCTCCCAAAACCTCCAGGTAACAACTTTGAAGAAAGGTGTTCTTCACTTCTTCCAGTGAATTCTTAAGGAAATCAAAAACAAAAAATTCTGTTGAAGACAACCTTAAAAATGGCACTTTTGAGATTCTTGACAGTGGTCTTGCTTGGTTTGATGACAACTTCTTATCTGGGTAGTGCTCAGGAGGATCTGAATCTTTATGAGCAGACCATCTTGTTAACATTAAGAAATGAGCTAGCAATACCAGGATGGAATTTGAACGGCTCAGATTTCTGCTCCTGGCATGGCATTGGCTGCAGCCAATCAACTGTGAAAAAGCTTGTCCTTTCTGGCTTATGGCTACATAAAGGTAACCTCACTTTAATATCTGAGCTCAAATCATTGAACTGGCTTGACCTTTCTGCAAATAATTTCCAAGGCTCTATCCCACCTGCATTCGGTCAGCTTCTTCATCTTCAATTTCTTGATTTGTCTTTTAATATCTTCAAGAATTCAATCCCTAAAGAATTGGGGAGACTCCAAAACCTCAGGGCATTGAACCTCTCACACAACTCCCTCTCGGGACCCATACCCCAAGAATTAGGGCAGCTTCAGGAGTTGGAAGAATTATTCATATCCAGCAACAGGTTGAATGGGTCTATCCCAATAGGTTTAGGGAATCTGACTAAACTGAAAGCATTTTCAGCTTATGAGAATAAATTCAGTGGCTTCATTCCGGGAAATTTAGGCCTAAACTCTGACCTAACCATGCTGATCCTCCATACCAACCAGCTTGAAGGCGTAATCCCAGAGAATTTATTCGCGAGGAAGAAACTGAAGTTTTTGGTCCTCACACAGAACAGGCTGATTGGCTATATTCCACAATCTATAGGGAATTGCAAAGGCCTTTGGAGTGTTAGAATTGGGGAAAACCGGCTTATGGGTACAGTTCCTAAAGAAATTGGAAATGTAAGAAACCTCGTTTACTTTGAAGCAAACAATAACAACTTGTCAGGGGAGATCGTCTCGGAGTTCTCCATGTGCTCTAATCTCACCCTCCTCAATTTGGCTTCAAATGGGCTTACAGGAACCATCCCTCGAGAGTTTGGCCTACTAACCAATCTCCAAGAGTTGATTCTCTCCGGGAATAGTCTTATCGGCGAAATCCCTTTGCCACTTCTTGAGGTGAAAAATCTCAACAAACTTGATTTAAGCAACAATAAATTCAATGGAACTATACCAAAAAACATATGCAGTGCTCCTGGATTGCAGTATCTACTCCTTGAGCACAATTCAATAGAAGGGGAGATACCTAATGAGATCGGGAACTGCATAAAGTTGCTTGAGTTGAGTTTGGCAAAAAATCAGCTTAGCGGTCAAGTCCCTTGCGAGATTGGTCATTTGACGAATTTGCAGATTGGGTTAAACTTGAGCTATAATCATCTCAGTGGGAATTTACCACGGGAACTTGGTAAACTTAACCAGTTGGTTTCTATGGATGTGTCTAATAATCAGCTCTCCGGGAGAATTCCATTGTCATTCATTGGAATGATGAGTTTAATAGACGTTAACTTCTCCAATAACCAGTTCTTTGGACAAATTCCGGCCTTTTTGCCATTCCAAAAGAGCTTAAACACGAGCTTTCTTGGAAACAATGGGCTATGTGGTAACCCATTGAACACCCGATGTGGAAATTTGAACCTTCACAATAATGTTCACCATTACGCGAACACTTTGGCTGTCATTGGTTCTGGTGTTGCGATTATCATATCTGTGAGTATAGTCGTGGTTCAGTTTATGGTGAGGGAGAATCAAGAAAAGGCAGCCAAAGCTGTTGAGGAAAGATTGCCTATGATGATTGCAGGAAATGTTTTTGTTGAAAATCTAAGGGAAGGCTTTGATTTTGATGTAGTTGCGAAAGCGGCCATGAAAGATGGGAATATGCTTAGGGAAGGTACTTTTAGCACTGTCTATAGGGCAGAAATGCCATCTGGGACTATCTTATCAGTTCGAAAGCTAAAATCAGTGGACAGTATAGTTCTGCAATACCAAGGAAAGATTGCCAGAGAAATAGAAAAGTTAAGTAAGAAGCTAAGTCATGAGAATCTGATGAGTTCTGTCGGGTTTGCAATATACGAAGACACTGTTCTTCTGCTCCATCAGCACTTCCCAGATGGGACTTTGGCGCAGTTTCTTCATGAATCTACCAAGAGACAGGAATACAAGCCTGATTGGCGAACGAGACTCTCCATAGCCATTGGAGTGGCTAAAGGGTTGGCTTTCCTTCACAGTATGGCCATCATTCACCTTGACATCTCTTCAAGCAATGTGCTTTTGGATTCCAATTTCAAGCCTTTGGTTGCTGAGGTTGAAATATCTAGGATTCTTGATCCATCAAAAGAGACTGCAAGCATCACTGCTGTGGCTGGCTCCTTCGGTTACATTCCACCAGGTATTTTAAGCGTTTTAAGTCACCTTACACAAGACAACGAAAAAATAAAATACCAACATATAAAAGACTAAAAGATCAATTGGATATTAAAAAACTATAAGACCTTATATGTAAGTCAACAATTCAACATATATACGTGACTCCAAGACCTTATACTTTGGTCAACTTGATAGGAAAAGGGCCCAAAACCTTGTGTATGGAGTGAAGGACTTTATATGAGAGTCCAAAATCTTGTATTTTTCAATTTGGCTGGTGTGGTGGCCTACTATGCCCGGCAAGATGTTAGCTTGTTGGACCGCACCAATCTTGAAATCCATGTGCTATATTGGTGTTTTTGTCGAACCGATTGCTCGTTTAAACTTAAACAGCTCTATTGTCATATTAAAACTTCAGATCCTTACTAAAAGATTAACCTGAAGAAATGAGTAGTCCAATGCCTTATATGTCAATTCATAGGTTCCTATTTGGCCACTATACCATAACTTAACACCTTTTAAAGTTATGGTATAGTCCAATGACCATGTTGATTAAATCCTATGTTTTAATGAACTTAACCACAGGTTCATATTTTTCAGTTTGTATGTACTGAAGATTCTTTTTGTTGTTATCAGAGTATGCATATACAATGCAGGTAACGCCTCCAGGGAACGTGTATAGCTATGGGGTTGTTCTGCTTGAGATTCTTACTAGCAAATTACCTATTGATGAAGCCTTCGGTGAAGGAACCGATTTAGTAAAGATGGTCCATGGTGCACCTGAAAGAGGGGAAACACCCGAGCTGATTCTTGATTCCAGGCTTAGTACTGTTTCGTTCCGTTGGAGGAATGAAATGTTGTTGGCATTAAAGGTTGCATTACTTTGCACTGATAGTACGCCAGCGAAACGACCCAGAATGAAGAAGGTTGTTGAGATGCTTCAACAAATTTCAGATGCTCCAATCTAATTATCTGAATCACATATTTCCAAGTTCTTAGCTTTGAAAGCTTCCGATAGTTGTGAAGATAGTAGTGACATACAATCTTGCATTCCAAGTTTGTACATTGTATTCAAAAAGTATTTGTTGAAGCAATAGAGACGAGTAATACAGTATGATGTAACATACTATAGAGGAATGAGTTGTGGCCAAGGATGTTTTTACTTGGACTATAATTCGTCCCAGACCAGATCAGACCAGACCAGACCAGATCAGACTTGGATAGTTATTATAAAAATACAAAGAAACCAGACCAGACCAGACCAATTCAGACCAGACCAGACCAGATCAGACCACACCAGACCAGCAAAAACATCCTAATATGGAGTAATGGAGGTTAACAAAAGATCATATATGAGAGGAATGGACACGAGGGGATTGTAAACTATAATACTATTATCCCTCGATTTACAACATATAACCGGTTTATTTATGATCATACTTTTGGCTAATTATGTGGTAAAAGTATGTAGAGGAATAACAAAAAAATAACAAATTAATTACTTACTTAAAAGTGAATGTGACAAAATTTTAGGGCTAATAAAAAAGAAAAGTTTTGGGCATCCTATCAGTTACCCAGTACATTTTATCCAAATATCCACTTTACTTATATCAATAAAGCCTATTCACTCCCCCCAATAATTTTTTCCAACATTCCAGCGGAGCTAATATTATTCACACTACATTTTATATATATCAGGTTAATAAAATATTGCTTAAATTATTATACATATTTTTTTATAATTTCTTTTGAATAGTTAGGCAAATAAAATGCCCCTTTCGTATGTAAGAAATTAAAACTTAGATACATAAATTTCGAGAGAAAAAGAAAGTTGAAAAAAAAACTAAATAAATTAAATTAGCCATTGGATTTTAGTTTGAGACATGTGGATAATTTATTCTCTCATTCCAACAATACCAAAATCATCTCAACCTTAAGACTTATTGTGTATAATTTTTCATTTTAAAGTTTCCATCATTCGCAATGAAGTCAAAGATTCACTATTTTTTTGGCTTGGGAATATGATGGAATGAAGCAAAATGGCTCATTAAACTGTCTGCGCTTCTTTGTTATGAAGCGGCAGTCACTCCATGCAATTTGCAACGCAATTTTTACTATGGATCATCCGGAAACAGTTTCTATGTACTTTAGTATAAGGGTAATGTTGTGTACATCCGACCCCTTTACCCCACCGTATGTGGGAGCCTTTGCGACACTAGGGTAATGATGATGATGAATTTTTCATTTTAAAGTCTCTAGCCTTTAGTGGAGAAAACGTCATGATGTCATAGGTGTGAATAAGAGCCTGTTTGGTAACATTAAATCGATTGATTCTATTGAAATCTAAAAATGTCTAGCTGAAGTGGCTAAATTATGAAAATTACATTTAAAATACTTTATTATAAAATAAAGAAAAATCCGTATGAAAAATAGCTAACATGGTCCTTTACACTAATATCAATCAACTCTATCTGAAAAGTAACTTCAACTTTACCGATTTTGATTTTTACATAACTCAGTCCCTGAAATCAAAAGTTACTTGTTGAAAAAGTTGATTTATACACTTAAAAGAGGATTACCAAATGGAATTTAAGTCTCTCTATCACCCTCTAAGCCTTGTTCGGTTCAAGGGAGGGGAGGGAAGGGGAGAGACAAGGAGGCTAGGGAAGGGAAAGAAACAAAATGACTTTCATAAACATTTGCGCGTGTTTGGTTAGAGGAAAAGGAAAAAAAGTTTTATTCTCTAATTTACTCCTATTTGATAGCTTGTTTTGCAAAACTAGATAAATGTAACGAATATGAATATTATTATCACCGCTAAACCAATTTTGGAAGAGAGCAGGGAAGTCCGTGATTTCTGGAGACTTATTTTTCAATTGATGGATACCTTTATTATTGCCGAATAAAGAATATAAATTGGCATCCTACCTTTACATGATAGAGTTCTAATCTAACACAAACTGTAACCTCTAATACTTCTATTCCTAATAGGAAGTAAATTAAACATAAAAATTGCATCACGATAAATCCCTCTTTTAATTAAACTCTTCTAATTAAACTTCTCACTTGTTCCATAAAAATGCGCCCGTAGCAGCAATTTCCGGCGAGCTCTTCAAACATTGCCCATTGGAGAACAAAAGCTTCATCAAACCAAGAGCATTTCAATGTAGAAAAAACTCATAATTTCCAAAAACACATAGGACTACCCTATGTTAAAGCCAAATGAGCACCATACGGCCGCCGCAGGTGCCGGTGACGATAACCACCGGTGGTGAGGAGCAACGGCTAGTGGTGGGGTTAGGGATGAGAGAGCAAAGCTAGGAGGAGTCCTAATGAGAAAGGCTCTCAACTCTCTCTAGAACTGCCCCTTCCCCCGCAAGCCAGAAGTAAACACGCCCTTACACCTATTCAGTGTATCACGACCTTGCATATTTGATACCATCCTCTGGGGCTGATGGATGACGTGTCACTTATGAGCATAAACCTAGATGTAATGAATGAAGAAACGGACAACTGTCGAAAATTCACCAACTAATTTGGGATGTACAGAAACATCTAGCCACCATTTTTGCCCATCATGAATTCTATCAAAGTCGGAATTGCACAATAAATTCTAGTGCTAGACTCAGTTCAGGCCACCCAGCCCAGGAACCGGCCCAGCCCGCTACTATACGGGACCGACTCGGCCCGCTACTATGCAGCACCGGCCCGGCCCGCTACTATGTAGCACCGGCCCAACCCGGTTCTTCGGGCCCAAAACCGGTCTAAGGCCCAGATAATAAGAGTGAGCAGGGCAGGCTCGGGTTGGTAAAAAGGAGGCTCGGCCGGGCCCAGTTCGGGCCAAATTGATTTTTTTGGTTTTTTTTTCATTTTTTTAAGATCCACCCGGATTGGGCTTGATGTTTAGGAGGGGTTTGGGGGGTGGGGGTGAGGGGGGGTCAAGGATAGGTAGGTAAGCAAAAAAAATTAACCCAGCCCAAGGCCCAGCCCGACCCGGACCGGACCCGGTGGCTACCCAGGCCGGTCTCAAGTCCACCTATTCTGAACCGGCGGCCCGCCCGGGCCTAGGCCCAACCCGGACCCGACCCGGCCCAGCCCGAGTCTAATAAATTCATTGAAATACCCAGCCTCAATATCTACTATCTCCAAGACTCCAACTAAGATAGTATGTTTGTTGGAGAATTAAAACTAAGATGAAAAGGGAACAAAAACCAACGGAATAGGAAAAAATATGGGAAAGACATACTATCGTAATAAGTAGTTAGATGTATATGACACTTGTTGAAGTACAAGGACTTAAAAGTGATCAATGTGAGATGTCAAGTTTATTTGACTCACACTTATTCCAATAGAAAATACAGAGCAACAATGACTATTTGTCTGAACTCTGAATTCTTAAAGCTCATTGCATAGACACAAACCAATTCTGAATTCTTTGAATTTCAAACCAACAAGTATCTACGATATTATTATTTATTATGATCTAAAAATGTAGCTATCAGCATGAGACAAAAGTAAAACAAAGAAGGGTTCCTTCTACCTGCTGGATCCCTAACATAATAAATGGTTTGGAATTCAAAAAAACAGGCTCCTGTTCTTATAAAAAAAGGCAAAAGTAGAGGATGGCTGCCGCACAAACATTATCATGCTTCAGTTGACTTAACAATGAAGTTTTGACGGCTTATCGGATTCATAACCACTGGTGGGCCAGCTGTACGAGGCCATGCTTGGAACTTCTTGTCAGTCTCTTCAAACCATTCCTTTTCTGTTATAGTTTTGGGGGTGGTACCTAATTCGAATGCCATTCACTATAAGACAAAACTTACAGAATCTAATCAAGATCTCATGGAAGGAATATTAAAGGGTAAGAACAAAGAACTAACCCCCAAAAAGCTTCTTGTCAGATATAATGGTGTCGCAAGTATATGCAATTGCAAACGATCCCACAATAGCAGAAATGATTTTGGCAGTAGACATTTCTGAGTACTTAAAACTGGATGAGTAGAAAAACAATAACATTCCCACTTTCAATATATACATTACAGCATAGATAATCAAGAAAAAAGGCCATATTGTTGAGTAGTTAGCTGTTGACTGAGATAACACACAGCTCAAGTAAGGGAAAGATGAACCTAAGCAGGTATTTGAAGATACATCAACAACATTACCCCAGTGCCGCAAAGGGACCAGATGCATGGAGGCAATGGAGCCTTACCCCTGCTCCCCTGTACTAAAGCAGGGAGAGACTGTTTCTGAATAACCCATGATGAAAATTGCATCGAATATTGCATGGACTAACTACTGCTTCATAGCAAAGAAGCGCAGTTTAGTGAGCTATTTTGCTTTATTTCATCATATTCCCAAGCCAAAGAAATAGTGAATCTTTGGCTTCATTGGAACGGATGGAAATATAACAAGGGAACTTTTTCAAAGTAATCCTAGCTCCAATCTACAACTAGCACAGTTGTTCCAAGATTCAAAGTGTTAAAAGCAAAGTAATCCTAGCTCCAATCTGCAACTAGCAGACAGTTGTTCCAAGATGCAGCAAAAAAACTTTTTCATACAAATAAGGAATAATATCACCAATAATTTTACCTGTTGAAAAGATATATAATGAAGAAGTATAGAAACAAACCAAACCTTACCATCTCAACTTATGACTTGACTTACATCCAACCAAAACCAGTGGAGGAACCAAAACATTTTTTGTTGGGGTGCCGAAAACAAAAGAGAGAACTTTTTGTGTGAGAAAACAGTGTACCCTTTAATTTAATTTGGACGCAATTAAACACATACTCCGTAACTTTTAAATTAGGATCACATATACTCCTTCCGTCCCCTATAAATTAGGATCAAAGGAGCAAGGAAATGAAATACCTTAGTACCGGTTTACCACCGTTAATTGTAGTACAAATGGAAATTGGTGAGAGCTTAGGGCAGCTTAGGGAACCATGAGATGTGTGTCTTCATTCTACGATTGTACTAATTGTACAAAAGGTCCCAAAAAGGTTTGAGAGTCCAAATATTTGTATTTTAAAGAAAGCCCAATACTTTTTGGCACACCGAATTGTTTACTACATTCATTCAAAGGGGAATCACTTTTACATTTTTAGTCGCTCAACTATTGCCCACATTGAAATATAATTTTCGT